AATTGGCTAATTTGTGGCTCAGTGTATTATGTGAACCTTTAGACTCTTAAGTCACCTTTTTCTGCAAGTCACTTCTCAAAACTATTTTCCACGAAACCGTAATCTCCTTTAATCCCAAACTCTAATATAACTAAAGGTAAGTAAGCATAACTGAAATATGCATATTCTCCACCACCCATTCTTAATTTGCCTTTCCTTCTTCTAATGTTCCTCTTGTACTTATTTCTAGATTATAAACATCTTTGGGAAGGCAACTGCACTCTTACAATTTGTGGTGGTACACAAAGGCAAAATTACCCTTGAGCTGAGCAAAACTCTTGATGACTACATGGATTCATCCATGCAGTTTTTTGTTTTTTTAGTAATAGTTCAAAGTGGTTTTCCATTGCCTCTTTCCAGGATGATGATTATCCAATCTAACCAACAACTCTAGTACTACCTAGTAGCCTCGCATCTAAACACTAACTAGGGCCACTGCTGCTTAGTTTCCAAGCCTTGACAAGGTCAGGCAAGTGCTGCCATCTGCCAAAACATAGAGAGAAATCCTGCTAGGTATAATACCCCAATAGTAACTTTCACCATTCTGGCCTCTTTTTGTTAAAGTATTGGACAAAAATCTCTACATCCTAGCTATTTAGACAATTAGCCAGGGATGGTGAAAGGTGTCATCTGGAGGTCTGGATGACACCAAGTTGAAAAAGGCTAACATACAGGGAGGAACATAGATAATGTGACTTACATAACAGAGCTGAATTCCTAAAGCTAGGGTAGCCTCCAGTTCCTGCCATCTGGAGCCAGCTTGGCTATGGCTCTACTTGAAAGAGACAATGGGAACTGGAACCCACACCTAATTAGAGGGGCACAGAAATTATATTGTTGGAGTGGCATTATCTGCATACGTAGGGTGGACAAGCTGCACTCCCTATTTATTTTGTCCTTTTTTCTTCCAGGAACTCAAGGATAACTTCCACCAATTCTTTCCCACAACAAACCTGAGAGGTAGGTTAAGCTGAGAGAATAACTGTCCCAAAGCCACTCACTGAGTTTCCTTGGCTGAGGAGAGACGTGAACCTGGGTCGTCCTAATTTAACCACAGCACGACACCAGCCCCTTCACCAACCTGCCCCCTTCCCCTTCACTATCACAGCCACGGGCTATACTTTCTCCCCAGAGCATTTGGCAGAGTGTGTGCACCTTTCCCCATCAGAGGTTGGCACGGGCGTAGTCAGCTCTACGAACCGGTTCCCTTCCCCCGTGGAAAGACTTCGAGGATTCTCCTACCTCTTCCAAATCTTTCTCCGTCCCAATCCCCTCTGAGTCGCGAGACAAGAAAGCTCGGGTTCTCCGTGAGTTCCCAGAGGCAGGAACCCAGTTTCCCTCAGTCCGGCCACCTCCTGCCCCTCCTCTGAGGCGCGCCAAGCCTCCTAGAAGACACCTAACGCTCCGCGCTCGCGCCAAAATTCCAAACGGCCTCGCCCACTTCCGCCTTCTACGTCATAATCGCGACGGGCGCGCACACCCACACACCGCGCTCGAAAAAGCACCAACAAAAAGACTCGGGGGCGTGCAGCGAGCGCCCTTGCCCGCCCGCGCGCTTGGCGACCGAATTCCGCTTTTCTCTCCCATTTCCAACGCCACCCGTCGTGGGTCGCGTCACGTACTTAAAAGTAATCAAGACCTGACAAAAAGCTTACAGGAGGCGGAATGTAGAAAGAGTCTTGAGATTCAATTTCCTTGTTTCATTTCCCTCCCGCATCTCCTTAAAAGACGGTTGTTTTACCTCAGCGCCATTATTCTGGTACTGTATTGTGTATCATCTGTCGCGCAAATCGGAGCTCTAACATCTCGGCTGGAAAACTCAGGACGATCATAGAATGGCAGCAAAAAGCTGGAGGTTATGTATCATGCGTACTTTTGTGGCCTAAATACAGTAGCCTTAGGTGAGAGATAAATGTTTGTCATCCTCAAACTGTGGTCTATGGAGAAACTTTAATAAAATGTTTATGAGTTCCTTGCTCAAAGTCAGTTTGAAAAGTGAAGCTTTAGGCTCCTCTGTTCCTTCCATTTTTGTTTCATTAGAGCTTTTATTTCATCTATAAAGAATATAATGAAAAAAATCTAGAAGTCTCCACAGTCTTTATGCTATGGCACCATGAAATCTGTTGTCACTGGGAAAAAAAGATCCATTCGTATCAGTGGGATTTAGGATTGTGCTATTAATTTTTAAAATCGCTATTATTTATTTCTAAAATATATTGTCTACAGTATAGCAGACACTCTTGGATTGATAACAGTTTATATGAATGAAAAAGAAACAGCAGTTGACAGCTGCTAAGCAGCTGATACAAAATTAACATATATTATAGCACAGGGTATAGAAATTAAGAATAATAAAAAGAAACCTAGAGAATATCCTATGCCTCTTTTGGCATTTTTAAGATAGTTTGCAAACTAAGTAAAGTTTGAGATTAAGGTGCTGGATTAGAAACAGTGAGCTCAAATCCTCTCTTCAACATGAAAGCCAGCTGGGTGACTTTGGACTAGTTGCTCTCCCTCAGTCCAATCCACCTCGCAGGGTAGTTGTTGTGGGGAAAATAGTAGGCAGGAGCACACACCCCTTTGTGTTGTACAGAATAAAGGATATATAACATATAATATAAAAACCACCTGTCCCAGTTTTTTTTTTACTTTTTATTTATTTTATTTATGTTATTTCTATAGCCCATCTCAATCTGAGTTACTCTAGTTTAGGCAGCTAGACATGCTTTTTTGTCACCTATTCTTTGCTTTTCAGAAATAATTTATTTTCACACTACGATCTGAACACTTATTTTGGAAGATAAAGAAGATCTTACAAACTTGTAAGATCGTGTCCTATATCAGTAATTCAGAAAAAATCTGAAATGATATTTCAGATCAGGAAATTTTACCATTTCTTCTAATCTTACTCCACCCAAGTTTGATATCATAAAACACAGTCTGTGGCAGAAAATGATAAACTGACTTGTTTATTAAAAGAAAAATCAAATAATTACCTTAAGGAATGGAAACCATTGATGGACTATTTGCAAAATGCAGGCGGGGCAAAGCT